TGGCACATCTTCATTGATTTCTCCCTCTCCCATGTGCTTGTGTAGGCTCCAACTCTGAGAGCTACAGAAAGAGGGCGTGTGAAGGGGAAAAAATGGACATCTCATCCGTTCTCCTTCAGAGTTTTGGACACCCACATCTTCATTGAAGCCACGATCACGATGCCTATATGAGGAAACTGAACCCACACGTTCTTGCCTCGCCAAATGCTCAGTAGAGGAGAGCCTCTGGAATCAAGCCCAAGTAAAAAAAACATGTTAACTCTGCAGCAAACACCAGGGGGCAGTAGTAGTCTTCACGGCCCTTCCATGAACCTCGACCCAGCTGTGTGTATGTGTGTGAGAAAGAGATCCTCAGCAGCATCTTCTCCTCCACAATCCTCAGTCCTAAAAAGTCCTTTTAAAAGACTGTATGAAAATTCATCGTGCTTTCAAACTGACCTATTTTGGGAGATTGGTTGCTTGGCTTCTCTGAAATCCCCCCCCCCATATTCTCTCTTATCATGATGAGGATTGTGAGAAGACAGAAGAAATATTGGCAAGTTAAAAATAGAGCCATAATACCCAATACGTCTCTTATTTTCCATAAATTACCTAAAGAACATATGGCAGCTACGCACCCACACATAGCCAGCATGCACGCCCTGAGAAACACTTTTCTTCCTCTTTCTTCTTTTCCGCTCTTTTCTGCCATTTCATAAAGCTTCTTGGAAGTCCAAACATGCCACCATCACTGGGTGAGAGCCCTCCATTTCCACAGACATGCACCGTAGTAAACAGAGTAATCCCCTCCTCCATGTTTTAAGGATTAATATCATCTTTATTCATAAGCATAGCAGGAAGACTGCTGTCGTGCTTATGGAGGGACACACACACACACATAAACACACAAATCGGCATGCGCAAATAACCATTAAGTGTCATGCGGGCCGGCTCAGACACACGTGTCCTGGTCTTCTTTCCGTGATGACATGATCTGTGGGTGGCAGATTGATTTGGTCCAGCGCGCGAGAGAGAAACAATCAGATCAAAGAGGAAGAGGAAGTAAGAGAGAGAATAAGCACGAGGAAGGGGGTGAGGGAGGGAGAGCTCTTCCACTTTGACTTGATGGATTTAACTCTCATTCAAAGGGACAGACTTATGACACATGGGAGAGAGATTCGCTTTTCCTTCCTTTTATCTACGGAAGTACTACAGTGTCTCTTCTGCACGCACAACACACACACACACACACACGGTTGTAAAAACACCCTTGCACTCTACTGTCTTCTCTCTGTGCTCTACACACACAACAGCACAGCCGTGCTGCTACTCATCTTTCCTCTCTACTCTTCCTCTATCTCCCCTTCTTGTCTTTCAGAGATGGCTCCAGCTAACAAGCCCGGGGCTCCGGGGTTGCATTAGCGAGGTCCTTGGTACCATGGTCCTCATCGATGTGCTGGAGGAAGGATTTCAGAGCACCGCTATCTGTCTGATTGCCTGTGTGATAAAAGAATAAAGCTGTTAGGAAAGGAAGAGGAGGATGAGGAGGGGGAGTATCATCATAACAGCCTTTTGGGGGGGGCACAAGTTTGGCTCCTGGGGGCAAGATTGTGCGCCTCTGATTTCCCTGCTTGCTCTGTACCCAGACTGATAAGACACAGGCAAAGTGCGGGGGGCTTCTAGATGTATGTTTGTGAGGTGTCTTGGTGGCATTTTGTCCCTGGCTGTGTGCAAGCATAACTGTGTGTTTGTTAGTTTGTGTGGTTGAATGCGTGGTCCCAGGCGAGGATTACCTTAGCACTCATTATCACTCATGGTGGAGATCATCATTATAGCCTTGCCTGCCCCACATGGCTCCTCTACCTCCCTCCAGTAACTCACTGCTAATACCCACACTGCTCTGAGACACACTGTGGGCTGCAGTGAGCGGCAAAGGGCACGTACTGTACATAAAATGAGACTGGATAGCAGGGAGGCTTTACTTCCATCGGGAAAAATGCAAGATAACACAAAAATATTAGCTGCAAGTCAAACACATTCATCCATAGAAAGCACACATCTCGAAAGCAGGCAGACGGATGCTGCTGTTGGTATTGTTTCGTCTGAGTGAAAGCTGCTTACAAGCTGCTCCAGCGGTTTACAAATCTGTCTCTGGAAAACAATTTCACTTTCACAGACCTCCCTCACACCCATTGTTCTCAGTCTTCTGTGTCCCATGTCGGCATTACAGCTACCTCACCCCTTGATCTTGCTCCTTGCATTGAATTTGTTGTTTCTTTGTGATGTAAATGCTGCATGTTCTAAATGAACTGCACATACATGTGAATTCAGCTATATTATTATTGTTTTGTCCCCATTTCTGGCAAGGTGGTGATGAAAACATTGCAACAATGATTCAAAGGTTTAAAGGCAAAATGTCAGATGAAGATATTTGTGTGCCGAACTAGCAGCACAAATACATTAAAGCATGAATTCAGTGTTTGTGTGACTACAGTGAACGTATCATCATCCAATTTTAACTATGACTAATGCGACTGTCATGATCTGGTTCCTGTTTTTATTTTGGACCATGCCAGGAGTTCTTAGGTTCAGTTTTGTGCAAAAAATATTCCTACTATTCCATTTTAAACTGGCAACTTACACATCAGAAGCATGGAGGAGGATAAATACTATGAAATATGCCACATAGCAAGGCTTTTGTCACATCAACAAAGTGAACCTTTTTCCCTGTTTTTTTACTATTTGTCAAAAAGTAATCTTGAAAAGCTGAAGGCTGTCATCTAGTTCTTATTGCAAGTTGAAATATAGTCCTTACAAGTACAACCATGTTATTATTCATGATTCACATCAAATCACATTTCACCTACATTTTAATGTTGACTGAGGAAAGGTGGCAGGTTGTGAATAGTGTCATCTCAAACTGTTGGAGTTCTGATTATCTTGCTGCGAGCCCAGAGAATAATAAGATCCACCATGCAGCCCACACAGGCAAGACAGAGAAATACTACTAATGCTTTTCATGTGCTTTCAACAAAGCTTAATGAGAACTTTTTTACAGCAAGGCATGTAGCCAATGAAACTTTCAGACATCCTTATGCTTTAATGCACTGAATCTGATGGATGAACTTCAATCACTCATGCAATACCATCAGCATAGAAACAAATGCTCCAGGGGATACTTCCTTGGAGCTGTTGCTGCTCTCCTTTTAAATGCAGAAAAATAGACGGGGAAAAAAAGTCTTTAAATGTTGATTTGTTGTGTTATGTGGCACACAAGAATAGAAAGGAACCCAAAGGGCACAAAGAAGGCTGCAACAATAGTTATTATCTCAGTTCATTTGACAATGACATATAGAGATAATTGTAGAAGGAACGTGTTTCAGCACTTATCCGGTTGTATTCACCCCCTTTTGTAATTCTCCTTGACAAAGAACAAATTTCTCCCGACGCCGGTGCACCTCCAGTGGGAAGGAGCGATGAGGTGGGGCTGAGACTATTTCTAAATGTAAACAGAGGCATTCACGACCATTGAGTCGTATCTGTCTCTGTCTGCGGATCTGCCTCGGTGTCTTTTTCCACACACCGCAGCAGTCCCCAAAATATTCACCGACACGCACGCTCAGACATAAATTCATCTCCTTCTCTATCCCATCATCCCAATTCACGCTCCCTTTCAGTTGTTTAATCACTGCAGAGGATTGCGGGACACAGAGCTGATAGAAAGTTTAAAAAAAAAAAAAATATTATATTGAAAGAGCAGTTATTGGCTGGGCGGTAGTCGACGCAGATTCCAGCCTCAGCAGTCCCAACCTCAGCCGACCTTGAGGTGGTGTAAGAGATATAGAAAGGTGTCTACCTCTCTGGCTCAGCAAGGGCCCCTTTCTCTCTGTGTTTTCTGCAGACATACGCACACACACACACACACATTCCTCTCACCTACTTGTTTTTCAATTTCCCTCTCTTAACTCGTTCGCACACAAAAGTATACAGTGTTTACGCTAATCCATCCACCTCTTATACCATCTCTCCCTCTCTCTCCCCCTGTCACACATACTCATAAACACACACACACACACACACACACACACACACACACACACACACACACACACACACACACACACTAATCTCATCAATTGTAACACCTAGCGGAAATGAGTCCCTCTCTGCCATTACCAGCTGCCACATGTACCAGAATCTATTACGCAGTATACGTTTCTTGATTATAAATGAACATTTCTCTTTCTTCTCTCTATTGTCAGTTGATATACATAATGGTGAGTCAACCTAGCTCATGATAGCTTTTATATTGTCTTCTCTGTACACCTGGGGACTGAGTTATCTGGTTAACTTAAACAAACATAATCCCTTGTCACTTTTGGAACCTACAGTACCATTTAAAAGTTTGGATCACCTGCCACAAAAGCTTGATTTGACACAGTCAGATAGTTAAGTTATAGTTACTATTTGAGTGGTCTTTCATGCTTTTAGGTATTAGAAAATCCTCTTTACAAATACATTTTATTTTGAAGGTTTTTGCAAATAAAGTAATGGTTTGTACGTCGAGAACCAAATGCTGTGCACTCAAAAAATAATTTGTTCAATGTACTTAATATAGTTATGTCAACAATTTCCACAAAACTGTGTTGTGTTCAAACTAATTTAATACTATAATTACAGAGAAAATAATGAACTTATGTGAAACCAACAAGACTGTATTAAGTAACTTCAATATTATCTGGTCAAGTTAGCCTTAATTGATCAGGCAGTGTTCAGCTAACTAAACAGGCATTCATTACACTGACCTAACTCACTAATTTATGTGTAACTCAGCTGCATTGAGTAACACTAATTGAACAACCCCTTGTAGTTCCAACTAAACTGACTTGAATAATCAGTACTTACATAGTTTTCATTGTTATCAAGCTAGTGAATAATGTTGGACTTACTAAACCTAGTTATGTCAACAATTTCCACACAATGTAGTTAAGTAAATCAAATTACAATACCTTAGTTCTGTGAAAATATTATTTATTGCCAATGGAAAACTACAACAATCACAAACAAAACAAACAAACAAATTTTAAACCACAAACTTTGAATTTGCGTGAGTTATACCTTAAAATTGCTCCTGCATATCAAACAAACCATTTTTCAACATGTATAGCTTATTTTTATTTCCCCATTTCTAAATAAAAATGTTTATATTAAAATGTTTTTTATGCTATAAAATACTCAATTTTGTTTACAGTTAAATTTGTATAAAATGCCCAATGAAAACAAAAATCTCTTACAGGACCTACAAAACCAAACCAAAACTTAAAGCTATATTCTTTAAGAAGCAGGCAGAATGAACATGGCTTTTCTCCCCTCACAATTACTGAACACTGTACAATGAAACATTAGATACTGATTTTTTAAAGATCCATCCTATTCATGTAGAACCATCTACATGAATAGAGTGAACAAATGTCAAGTAAAAATACTTCAAAATTATCTTTTCCTCCCTGCCACTTCAGCATTGTAGGGGTAAAAAAACAAACAAATCAGTGCAGTGTTTTCTAAAATTAAATCACAAAGGAAAAAAAAGGAAAAATAAAAAAAGTAGTCCAACGTACATTTTCAACAGACAGTACCAAATCTTATGAACAGGAACTTGGTCAACGTTTGATCACAGCACCATAAACACGATTTCGATTTGTTTCTCTCATCCTCCTTGCTACAACTTTCAATATTCACCCATCACTCTCCATTTCACATTGTTGATCTCCACTTCTGCAGCTGACGTGAATTCAAACTTCTCATTTGTGTTTTTCAAGTTTGTTATTGTCTCTTTTGTAAACATTTTCTCAACTCTGTTAAACATTTAGTGCATCTGATCCACTCTTCACAGTTCACAGTTCAACATGCAGATCCAAAAATCAGTTTTCTGCCAGATGGTTTGGGATGGAATTTGTCCTCCAAGTTTCCTCTGTGCTGCTCAGGAGCACTACACTCTAAAATGTTCCTTCAAATAGTTTGTTCTTTAGCACTTGAGCCTTTGTTGAAAGTTTGTTGCCATCTAGTTCCATCACAAGTTTTTGCAGAACCTCAAATGTGTACTTCAGGTTTGTTGGATAGCTCAGGTCCAGTGAGTACATGAGGCCAAACAAAATGGCGACTGCATTTGCAGTGTTATCAAGGTCATGGAGCACTTCCACACCTTCAATGATTATTCCAACATCTGCCAGGCCATCTGAAGACTCTGCACCTTCCATCTTTATGGCAAAGATTCCCAGGACTGTCTGGTCCATAGCCTCCTGGTTGTCTTCAACATCCTCAAAAACAGAACAAATACACCTTCAGTTACAATATACACACCATTTATTATCCATCCACCCTCCAATAATACCTTAAGACAGTAGTTCACAAACTGCTTTTAATGTGATTTCAATGAGGGAATTTTACTATGGAAGCATGTCCCAAATCTTTCTGTCTGTTAGAATGTCAGGCAATCTGATGCATTTTTCTTGTTGTCCATAAATGTCATGTTTGGATCCAAGACACTAAGGAACTGCCTGCTAAGAAGTTTTGTGTGTGTACCCTAAGCCTGCATGATATCTTATTCGTCTGTGTGATGGACTTGTCAAAAACTTCTAAAATAACAATCACATTTTCAGTTTCTGGAGAGAAAGTACAGTAGAAACCAAAGGCCAAAATACTTACCATGTACTCTCTTATGAGATTTTCAGGGTCTTCATTGAGGTAAACCATTAGTGCTTTCAGTACACAGGCTCTTCTTGTTTCAACAGCATCATTCTACAGCAGAGAACAAGGGAAGTGTGTAAGAGTAGTTATATTGGTATTGCATTGTGCAGCAATTACCACTACAGATCATCACTGCTCAGCCAAACTGGTCAGACTACTAATTTTCCGCCCTACAGTGGCCAGCTGGTTCGTCTTCATCATAAAAAATAAATTAAATAAAAAGTACCTTATCCAAGTCTGCCATGATAGTCCTTATTTTCCGCCCTGCTGCTCCTCCTTTTCTTTTGAAGATTGTAATCAGCCGTGTAGAATGATGATCCAGCTGTTGCATGAATTTTGATCTCAGTGGTACAGTGGTGATGCGAGTAAACTCTGCTTCTACCTACAGACATTTAACAAAGTATAAAAATATCAACACAATACAGCTCAAAGGCAATAATAATCAAATTACTGGACTAACTAAATGTTATTGTGACTTCCTAAGATGAAAATTTTGTCACATGATCAGGTATTGTGTGGATCATTAAATTAATGCAATATAGGACTACAACAAGGATATCCCTTAGTTATTTTTCCCAAAAGTTATAATTTTCACAGATATGATTCTGTTACCCAGTTCCAATGACCACCACATGCTTGCAGTACAACAAATTTGACACAATGCTTTTCTGGAAAATTACATCACATGAATAAAGACAGTTCACCTTGCATTTAATAAATTCATAATTCTAATTTTCACCTTTGGGTGAAGATTAGAGCAGCAAATAATCTTGAGATTTTTTTACAGACAAAAAAAATGCCAAAATTGTCCAGTTTCCCTCTTACTCTGAGTGTCTGTGTTGTGAGTAAACAGACATTTGAAGACATAATTTTTATGATCAAATTGATGAAAATAATCTGTTGTTGCAGCCCTAGTGAAGATTCCTTTTAATGTCATCCCTTCACCCCCTAAAATGTAAAAACTTAGTTATGACTGACCTCCTGCTCAGAGAAAAGAGCTGGCCACCTTCTTTGAATTCAGCAATGAAAGGCTTTTCTTCAATCACTTCATGCCGCCTGTAAGCAAATGTCTTCTCCATTTTCTCCTTAACCACCTGTTGGTTGTTGCTCTTTCTTACTTCGGACAATAATGCCAGTCTCTCTTCCTCAAGGCTCTCTTGGGATTGTCCTGTTGGATAATCTGGACAGTAGTTCACTTCTGCTCTTCTAGCTTTCTTCACTTGATTTGGAGATGTGCGTGGATCACCTTGTTTACGCTTGAAGGAATTCACATTCAGCTCGGAACATCCGATATTGCGCAGTTTTGTGCGGTAGTTTGCCATTTTATATTTCAAGCTTATTTTCCACCCATAAAAGCCAGAAACAGAACCTTGCTCCTTTAAACATGGGTGTTTCTTCAAGAGTGCTTCAGCTACTGCATCAAATTCAGCATTGCACGGATAAGCTTTATATTTGATTATCTGGGATGCCAAACTTTCAAGAATGTCTGACTTCATTCTTGGACTTGGACTGAAGAGGATACCATTATTTTGAAAGTCAGTATTAGCACGCTGGAGTTGGAGCTCGACATCATAGACGAACTCAGGCACAGGAAAGACATCTGGCCATGGCTCACATCTGAGGGACGATGATGATGAGCTAGAGGATGAGAGAATGTCAGTGTCCACAGATGAAATGGAAGCAGTCTCATCCAGACTGGGTTCCACTGAAGACAGGCAGGGGCTAGTTAGAGACGAAGCACTTGGGAGGTAAATCAGTTTGAGAGTAGCTTTGTTTTGAATGTCTGAGGTGGACTTCAGGTTTATGAACTCATCAAAGTCACTGTCCTTGTATTGCAGTCTGAAGTCTCCTGCCACCTCACATTGTCTCTTTATCTCACTTTTTAGTTCCTCAACAGAATCTGGTATTCCTGAAGGCAGGCTTATTTTGGAAGAGTCATTTTGTCCAAGGATGATGCGAAGCACTGCCGGTGTAGCCATATTGCTTGACAGGTTATTCTGAAGAAAAAGCAGAAAAAAATTATTAAAACCGTATGTAATAGAAGTCTGAGCAGACAGCATTCATTCATCATCAGTATGACTATCATGAGGATTAAAAGCATAGGGATAGTGTAAAGAAGGTATCCCTCAGAATGACGCACAAAAGTCAGACACTTGCTTCTAAATTAGCTTACTGTTTATTGTGAATCTTGATTTTATATAAATTTACAAAGTCGTCGTCAACATTATTTTATGATAGTGCAGTGTAGTGTCATTGTAGTGTTCATTCTGGCTCAAATAACCTCCTCCTGAAGCCACAAAAAGCCTTTATCTACTTCTGACACATTAAGAGGCACTCATGTTCCTGTATAAAAATAGCTGTCTTTGAAGAGTTATTTTGTGTATCATTTTAACCTGTATTCCCATAAAAACGGTCAACATCAAATAATAATCAAGAATAATTACCAGACACGTGTATGTATCTTTTAAGGGTTACCATTCGGCGGGTTCCACACTTGTAGTCAACCAGGGGATAGTCGTCAATCAGTTCACTTAATTCAGCCAACACAATCTCTGTTGCTGAGGATGCTTGTATCTCAAAAGCGCTGTAGTGCTCTCTGTACCATGATGCCAATTTTCTGCATATGAAGATCAATGTGTTTTCCAATATACACATTTGAAGTATCTCCACAAATTCAGGCAATCCACCAACTGATCCATGCACAATAATCATTCCATTTCTATATTGTATGCCATTGGTAGAGACACTCTGTGCTAGAGTAACTGTTGTGAGATCAGGGTATTTTTGACATAGATGAAGCGCCACATCCTCTTTCATGACATCTACAGGAATTGACGAGACATGTGTCACATCAAAGGCTGATCTTGCATAACTCCCTGTATATATGTGATGGCCAATCATCAGCTGGTGCTTATTTGCCAAAGACAGTGTGATGTTCTTGAAACACTTTGTGTGTCTGACAACCTGTTTGAAAAAACTGTGTTTGGCCTCAAAACGCATTGTCCAAAACATTACAATGGGGCCAAACAGCTTTATCATTTCTGGGTAATGCTCCAGAAAGTGATGTTTTGGTAGGAGTCTGTGACCTGGAAATACCTCCTGGTATCGCTGTCTGTGCTCTGAGATTTTATACTCTAAATATGCCACAGACTCATCACAGTGGAAAGGTGCAACCACCAGCTCGACAATATCTTTTAAGTCTAAAATCACTTTCCAGGCTGGCTCATCTTCAGGGATCAAATGACCAATCATAAATGGTAACAATCTTAACAAACACCAATTCTCGTGTGCGTTACCACCAATTGTTTTGCGACATGCAAAATTATGTGGCAACAAGTGAGGGCGATTTTTTTTGTCACCCCACCTGTATTGAAAGTTTTTAATGTGATTATTAAGGTCAACAAGTGAAAATAACTTCTTGGAAATGAGAAGCCCCAAGCACTGTGCAAGCTCAACAGGGACTATGCCCTCAAAAGATCATGGACAACATCAGGGGATACCCTGATGTGACAGAGAAGTGGGAAAGTCTCTCTGTGAAAATACAAGCTTTCTTCACACCAAAAAAAGTACCTCCTTTTGCCTGTGCAGTCTTAACATGTAACTGTTGAAGTTCTTTGTTTCTGAGGGTAAATGCACCTGATTTTACTTCTTTGACTTGAGTTTCTTCCCGCTGAGCCGTGCAAAATCTACAAAAATACTGGCCAGAGAAACTTTCCACAAACCCAGCTATTCCATGTGCTGCAAGGTTGTCTGCTACCACACTCTGAAGTGTCCCCTTCACAAATGTACCCAGATGTGAGACAAAAACACCCTGTTGCTCTAGGGTAACAAGATCTTGGAGTAGTGGCTCAAATATTCTGTGATAGCCAAAGATCTTTACATCATCAGATTTACATAGGAGAGCCAGGTTTATTGAGGCCAAAGAGGAATGGCTGCCAGGGGGCAAATTTCCCAAAATCCAATAGACAGCACACAGTTTGTGTGTTTTCCGTGATGTACCGAGGGGTTGCAAACTTCGAAATCATCTATGTATAAACAGAGAGAGATTCTTAGTTCCTCTCCTGACAGAAATACATTATTCTTAAAGTGCTGGCCATCTTCAAAGAATCTGTAATGCTGCTGGTCACTCACTCTCTGTTGGAGTCTTCTCTTTTCGATAACCTTGCTAAGCACATCCTTTTGATTAAGTAGCTGCTGTAAAACCTTTAGCAAAGGGACATACTGAAAACTTCTATTAGCCTTTGCATCAAGTATAAACTCAACTGGATCAACAATATTAAAATGATTTCTATAATATTGCTTCCGCTTAAATGCAGTGGCTAACGGCCCTTCCTTTCCTAAAGCTTTTGACAAAGGGTTAGATGAAGAAAGTGTGCACTTTAACTCTTTGATGAGTAATTGGTCAACCTGCAAATTACGGTTACTAAAGAAGTCAGCAAGAATGTTGTTAGCTACAGGCACCAGGGCAGAATTAACTAAATAATGCAACTCATTTAACAGCTCATCAACAGCTGAGGCTGGTACATGGAAACAATTCTCCAACTTTAATAAGACAGATGCCAATTTCTCTTCTATAACTTTTGGCACATCCTCAGGTTCTGGGATCAGTTCATTATCTTCAAGTTCAGCATTGTCAAGTGACTCATTACTATCTGTCAGACATGCTCCTCCAAAAGAACAATTTAATGAATCTGCTGTGGCATTTTTCACAATTCCAGCTTTTAAATCATTCAGTGTATATGTCCTGTGTTTTCTGTTCTTGTGGGTTTGATATGTTCCGTAAATATTTGTTTGAAAGGAACAATTCTCAAAAATGCAAAATATAGTTTCGTGTTTTTTTAGATGGCTATTAACATGAGTTAAAAATTCTTTCAATGAAGCAATGTGGCTATTTGAACAATGGTGGCAGTTGAATGTTGTGCAATCTACTGATATCTGAGAGGTCTGATCAAAATGTGATCTACACAGGTGACTTCGCAGTGCATTCCAAGTTTTAAATGTGCACAGGCAATTTGAATATGTGCATGGATAAGGGTGTTTGCGGCCAAAGTGGCCATGTTTTAACCTATAGTGCTTCAATAACTGATACCTTGTCGTTTCCTCTGCAGCACACTCTTTACACTTCCACATTCATAATGCTGGAAATGAAACACAACCAAAAAAAAAATAAATTACTATCCCATATACAGTATTAGATTTGAACATCTGTGGATACTTAAAGGTTAAGTCTGGATGTATTACTCGTAACTGTACTTACCACTACTGAAGAGCCACAAACAAATGCAGACTGTCCAGTCCTCAAGCTCACAAATGTATGGAAGACCTGTAAAATATAAATACAGTCTATTTAATATCAGTTAGACTCATGATAAGCAAACAGTTATAACTTGAACATATTGAGAGCAAACACATGTTTAGTTTTACAGTTGGGATAGCACTGAAACCTGAAAGTGATATATCATTCAACACATAACCAACTCTGGGTGTGGTAAAGAAAGCATTCTTTGTTTTATATATAATTGGCTATTCATTAGTAATATTATCAATATTTTCATGCATTTTCCAGGACTCTATCATCCACATTTAGTTATGTATTATTAATGATACAGAAGAGCCTTTTGTATTCATAAACATATACATGCAGAAATAAATGTTCTTCTAAAATATTTGGGAATATATTACATGAGTAATGTTTTTAAAACTCCTGCAGTACAATCATCTGACAGTCCGACGTGTGCTCCCTGCCTTGCTCATTCAAACAGCCTATCATATCCCTGAATGATATGAGAGACAGGCAAACAGCCAATCATTTAACAGCTATGTAGTTCAGTAGTGTCAAAACAGCTGTAGTGAGAACATAAGGCTAAAGAAGCAGAATGGTAACCAGTAGACCGTTATTGTGCGCTGCTCCAATTCTGAAGCAGGCAGCAACAGTTACGTAGTGGTGGAAAACTAATCATACTAGTTTAAAATTTCCTTTGTATTATCATTCAGGCTAAGGC